TATTCACAAAAATTAATTTTGGTATCTATTTGAAAGATTATTTTCCCCTTCTGTTTCTCAAAAAGTCAAATCTTTTTGTTGCTAATTGAAAATGACTTATAGTCCTTTATCCTCTTAGGAGGTAAAAAGGGGAACTGGAGATAGTTTACTAAATGAGCCTGTCTTGTTCTTTATGAAAATATCATTCTAACTTTTTTTTTATTCAAATGACTCTAAATACACATTTCATAAAAATTATTTTGCACCCTACATTATTTACTTTATTAAAGCAATATAAAGTGTTAGGCTAAATGGAAACTCAAGGTCACTAAACCTCTTAAGATCCTCTGATTTTTTTCAATCTATTTTCATTTTGTTATTTTTCAGGAACATTCCCACAGACCTGGCATTACAGAACAGAACATTTCAAGCATGCTGAAACTTCAAATAGCAAATTTTAAAAATTATTTTGAAATTATTAAAATACCAAAGGAAAACTAATTCATTGGTGTTATTTTAATTTTTAAAATTGATTTTAGAGAGGAAGGGATACATTGATGAGAGAAAAACATCCATTAGCTGCCTCCTGCAGGCCTCCTATTGGGGATCGAACTCTCCCCAACAACCTGGGTATGCCTGTCAGGGAATTCAAACAGTGAGCTTCTGTTTCATGGGTTGACACTCAACTGTTGATCTACACCTGGTCAGGCTAATTCATTGTTTCAAGTCATTATATGTAGTCAGTATTCTATTAACCAGGGTAAGTGAACCTGTCCAGATTTTTCTTTAATATTAATGTTTGGTATACTTATGTTACACTCTATAAATTCTGGATTCTCCTGAGTCTCTTTGGAAATATACATCCCATTGATAAATGCTTAAGTCACAATACTCAAGAGCTAGTGTTATTGTGAATTAACTGGTGTTAATTCCAGGTGACTGGAATTTAGCATGACAGCATCATTAAATACATTAATATAACCTATGTTGCCTATATTACACACCTTGATGGATGGCAAAAATACCATCACTTGTATGTGGGTAAGTGAATATAGAGAAAACAGCCACTGTGGCTTTGACAAGTGCAAGAATTACTTCATAATGTGACAGCTGGAATACAGGTTGTGTTCCTAACAGATGTTTTTTAAGAGGTTTCATACTGCTTTTAAATGAATTCATACTTCTGAAAGGTAAAAACCAATTTTGCATGCTTAAATGCTTACAAACTAAACATGAGCAAGATTATACAAGAGGATTTTTTTTTAATAAAGAGGAAGAAGCTAACTACATTAGGTAGTTTTTGTTTTGCAAAGTAAGGCCTTAAAGTAGTAAAGAAAAACCTAAATCTGATCCCAGAGATCACTTTAACAATTGCTCATGAAAATAATTTTTAAAATTTGTCAAACATTTCAGAAAGCATATTAGATCTATATTCATATTTTGATCTCCATTCCTTGGTTCGGCATTGTGATAATTTCAGAAGCTGTAGAAAAATTAAATACATAATTTAAGGAGCTTAAAGTTTTAAAAATTAGTCACGTGACAATAGTAATATTAATGATGGGAATAGACTATAAATATAGAACTGGAATGTTTTACTGTGTTGCACAAGTTCATTTGCAAAGTGTTAGGGTCAACATGGTTTTTGTTGGTTTGCCCAATATTTGTATGCTCATTTTATACTCTACTCTGCAACTCAAAAGATACAGGGCATCACACTGCTGGATGACTAGTACATACATACACATTAATGCTAATACTTTACTTTTGTATTGGGCTTTATAATAGACATTTCCCTCCAACTTTCTCTATGAAGTAGGTAGCAAGTTCTAATCTTCCCCATTATGAGTTAAGAAATGTATGTTTACACATATGAAATAAATATTTATAAATTTTATTTGGATCACAATATTCAAATGGAACACTTTAAGATGAGAATATGTGACCCCAATGAGTAGCAGCAAAGGTGGGCCTACACTGAAGAGATCCTAGTCCCTGACTAATAGAAGCACTAATCTCTTAGCTTGTTAAATATAAAAATGACAACAGCCAACACAATAGCCGTCCAGTGTGAGTGAATAAAAATTACACATTTTTTTGTCAAATCAAAAAATACATTTTTGGTGTGCTGAGAACTTTAGTTACTAGTTTATATATACCATATATTGGGATATGTATATTTAAACACATTTAAAAATTCATACATAAATTTATCAGTTTGAAGGAAGATAAGATCCAGAGAAGAGTACCTGGTACTGTAGTAGGCAGACATGAGCAGAGTACAGGTCCCTAGGGTGGAAAGCCCTGGGTGCCTAGCAAAGGACAATTGTAGGGTGGGACCTTGTCCCCAGGGTGGCCTTTCCTCCCCTAGTGATGACCGGAAAGGTGAGCCGAGGTGTTTTCCTGGAGTCCTGTCTCAGGACCATGCAGACCAGAAGATTTAAGCAAAAGTGGAAAATTTATGACAAGCAGATTCAGACTTCCCACAAGGGAAGGGGGACCCAAGAATGGGCTGCCGGTTAAAGCCTTATGGTCCAGGGGTATATTTGCTACAAGCCTGCTTCTATTATCTGTGTCGTCGCCTGATAGATTCCCTCAATTGTTTTTGCCCAACAATGGGCCTAAACTTTCCCTGTTTCTATGTGTTCTCTGTTCCTATGCTGAACTTTTTCTGTTTCTATGTGTTTGTACATCTTGTTGCTAAAGGCCCTCCCTTGGTTTCCCATGCCTCCCGCTTTGAGTCCAGAAACATTTTATTATTTCTGCTTGGTTGGTCCTGTGGTTAGGCTGCTCAAACCGCCATGTCTGCCCCTGCCTATGTTCCAGCTGCCTTTGTTTTCCACTGGACCCCTGCCCTGTCTGCCTGCATTTTAAGTTAACCCTTTCACTAGTATATCAGTGGTCTTGTGGTTTGGACCCCCTGATCTTTCCTCCCTAGAGATAACATCTAGACCTCAGTTGTATTTTAGCTCCAGGCCCAAAAAAAGCAGCAAAACCAGAGGAGCAAAGCCATGGCTGACTTCAGGACCAGCTCCATTGAAAAATGACCCCCTGCCCTGGCACCAACCAACCAATCAGTGGGGACAGGACCCTGAAAGGACAGACCAGGAAACTGCTGAAGATTCAATTGAGATCTTCCCTGGGACCTCCCCTAAATCTCCTTAAAACCCTGAGAACAGGGGACCCAGAGGGCTCTCCCTCCCAGGATCACTCCTTTGCCCCCCCCCCCCGCCCCCGCATCACCTTTACCTTCCTCACTTCTAAGCTCCAAGGGCCCTTCCTTTACCTCTATATCTTGTTTCCTAAGCCTATTTCTTGTACGAATTACTTCTTCCACCTCCATGATTTTATAAATGTTCTCTTATAGTTTGAGTCTTTGCTCTGAATTCTATCATAGCCAGAACCCAAGTATGGCCTGACCCCAGAGGTCTCACACCTGTGCCCTTCCCGCCACCCCCAACAGTACTTACTAGTTGCTACAATTTGACATTACCCCAACGTTATCAGAGGCTTGTTTTAATTAACATTTTATTCCACAAAACACAATTTGGCCCCAAAGTCTAATGGAAAGTCCTTCATGTCACTCAGTTTACTGTTACCAGCAACAATACTAAAAATTAGTCCATGAAGATTTGGTGTGTTCCTTTTAACCAGAAGACACCTAATGTTGCTGTTCACAAGCTCTAGTAAATTCACCGTGTTGCCAGTGATAATTCCCCTTAACTAGGAAATGGTACTTGACCTTTAATATCAGTTTTGCTATGTTGATGAAAGGGGCCCCATGCTAACCTGACAAGCTCAGGGAAGGCCTGCATGATGGTCTTGCAAACCCAGAGACCTAAAGTAACCACAAAGGATGGTCTGAAATTAAACTTTAACTAAAAGCAGTTATGGTGGGTAGTTATGTCTTAGGCCGGTATCTTCACTGACAAGGTCAACCTTTACCTTAACTGAGCCTGTCTTTTTGCATCTATGATAACATACCCTTGAAATGTCTGGGTAACTTCTAACTTCCCTTTTTTCCAGGCACCTCAGGCCACAACCAAATGCCCTGGGTGCCAGGACAGGAGACCATAAATTCCTTCTTTGTTATTGTTATGTTAATTATTGACTGTTAACTATCTCACCCTAGAGTTTTCCCTGCTTTGCTTTCTCCAGCCTCTCTGAACACCAATGAGTTTCATGTAACCCACCTATGCTACCCCCCACTTTGTAATGTATAAAAAAAGACGAAAAACAGCCATTCTCTGGAGCATTATCCCAATACTTGAGATTTGCTCCCTGGAAGTTGTTGACAGTTTGGCTCAAATAAACTCACAAAAATTATTTACAGGTCTGAATGTTTTTACGTTAATAGCTATGTATTAGAAAAGATAAAACGAAGGACACTCAGTTTGCAGGTGGGGTTAAAAATTCTAACTGGAACAGAGGAGCCAGTTCAATGTTTATACCACAGACTGGATGAACTGGCTGGGGCCTAAGCGGTGCTGATTAAAGCAGGACGGGTCGGAAGCACACGGCTTTCTCCGCCGGGCATTTCTGCCACGTGTTGGCTCCGCCACCACACGCTAGCAGTCTAGCTCCATCTCTAGGGAAGCAATCAGGATGCACAGAAAGAGGTGGGGACCACCCCGTGGCCGCAAAAACCACCCCCAAGCTTCATCCATTAAAATGACACAATTCGATTAGGTTAAAAAAAAAAAAAAAAAAAGAATGAAAAGGCACACGGTCAAGACTGACTTTAGAAAGGTCCCGCCTCTGCCTCTGCAGTTCCGGTCCAGCCTCTGAGCAGGTCCACGCCGGCAGCGGGAAAGTTTCTGCGCGCGCAGGAGCCTGCC